ATGCGGTATAAATAATAATATTGTACTCTACCAGGTATTACGGATGTGGCCTGTGTATCCCCAGTTGTTTAGAAGGCTGCAGTGTACTGGATCTCGGGAGTGGTGCCGGAAGAGATTGTTTTATCGCCAGTAAACTTGTTGGTCAACATGGTCACGTGACAGGAGTAGACATCACCGAAGAAATGGTGAGTTGTAAACTCTAACAGGGCAGGTTTATTGATTCAGGATTAATGATGAGAAGATTGCTACTCTATGAGTGGTTATTACGCCAAGAGGTGATTATTATGTCATAGGTGATTAATACGTCACGGGGTAATTATTACTCCTTGAGGTGATTATTATTGGTCCTCTAACAGTGTAGAATGATACCTTCAAAATAACCAATTGTTTGGCGTTGGTATTTTTGCTGGACTTTCATTTTTCATACTCGAATAATGCGATCTGTCAGTTACGTCATTGCAAGAGAGCTTTCCAAAATCCAGCACCTGTCCCGTGAATTTCGTGAACTACACTGATATTCGCATCATCTATTGCTAATGTCTGCGACTATTTCCGTCATACTTGTAAATATTTCTTGTCAAATAATTTGTCAAGAACAAAACAAAAATAATTGACGCAGCACAAATTTAGCGAGTTCAATCAATTCGTCAACAGAGGGCGCAGGTGCAGTGGCGAAATAAGTTAAAATTGTACCGCACTTTTTTTTTTTCGTTCGCTGACCAGAAACCTATTTGTTTCGCCCTAACAATGCTTTATATTGTTTTATAGGTTGAGTTTGCTGATAAATACAAGGAATACCATCGTAAACAATTTGGATATGACAAAAGCAATATAAACTTTACTTTAGGTTACATGGAGAAACTTGGCGATGCACAGATCCAAAGTAATACATATGACATCATTATGTGAGTATTGCTGTGCTTCGATTTGATTTCGGTTAATCATTTCAATCTCGCTTCGTCTTCTCAATAATGTTCACGCTTTAAAAACGTTCTTGGTTTTAACATTAACTGTGATTTTGATGTTACATTTCAGTTCTAATTGCGTCATCTGTCTCTCGTCAAATAAAACGGCTGTGTTGGCGGAGGCGTTTCGTGTGTTGAAACCTGGTGGGGAGCTTTACTTCAGCGACATGTACTCTGATCAGCCTATACCGGATAGCATAAGAAACTCAGACGATGCTGTATTATGGGGTATGGATTCTCAAGTCAGCCCACTCATACCCAATCTCTCGATATCACTTTTAGCCCCCGTTCGGACGCAGTCCAAAAACAAGGACTTATGACTTATGTGACCTCCGTGCGTGCACCAGTCCATACGTTTCCACCTGTATCTCGGACATGCCTTGTCCGATTACATTCACACTTCATGCATCACATATCTTGGGCGACTTGTGCACGTTCATTAGTTTGGGTTCAAAATGGTCGAATGGCGGTCATTTTGCTTTTTATTAATGAATTCAAGCATTTCTGCAAGTCGGGGTCTGAATCTCGGTCAATCATAGATTTTGTTCAAAATTTGTATGTACATTGAACTTCATGGGACCTTATGTCATGTTTTGTTTGACAGATCAGACTCAAACTGACCGACTAGAGGACATTTTGTTTTAGTGAATGCAGTTCGGAGGCATATATCTGACATTCCCTGACCTTCCACGCTCAAACTTTATATATGTCTTAAACTTGAAAACTCATGGGGACTATTTAACGTAAATATCTTTTGTTCACTAATTTGATAATGCATTGTTCTTGGAACAATTTCACTACACGTACATCATGATTTCCTTGTCTTCACTTTTACATTGAATTGTACACGCCTTGGTAACAGTAACGTATATGTAGATATAGATTACAATCTATCGATACAGTGTTCAGGTTTAAACTTACTGCAAATCGTACTTCATCCCTACCTGTGAACAATTTTTATAACCGGAAATGTTGTCCAAATTATACAACAAAAACTCATAAAATATATAACGCATCCACACTTGTAAAAAGTTAATTTTAACATCACTAATCTCATTCAACATCTGTTGTAATGTAACATACATCCATGCTGAGTTTACTGCACATTTTAAGTGATCTTAAATTATTCTACTCTCTATATACAGGGGAGGGTCTCTCCGGGGCATTATGCTGGACTGAGTTAATGGATATTGCTGGGAAGATTGGTTTCACCAAACCACGACTTGTTTCTACGTCCGAAATCATAGTCAAAGAAGAATTACAGAAACAAGTTTGTATGTAATTGTTGTATTCTACATATATGCATTTCGTATTTAATGCAATAACAATAATACAATACAATACAATACAATACAATACAATACAATACAATACAATACAATACATACAATACAATACATTTCATAT